ACGGACAGACGGACAGACGGACAGACGGACAGACGGACATGGCTAGATCGACTCGTCTAGTGATGCTGATCAAGAATATATATACTTTATGGGGTCGGAAACGCCTCCTTCACTGCGTTGCAAACTTCTGACTGAAATCATAATACCCTCTGCAAGGGTATAAACATACATTTTTTGTTATTTAATAAACAAAACACGGAGGCATGAAAGCAACAGCTCCCCTGAAAACTATAAACGGCAAAACTGCAGTGGAAGCGAAATGCGAAAATATATGGCAGATATATATATACTCATAGAAATTTTTACCCTAAATCGCCCTAAAAAACTGACTTTTCGCCCGTGGATTTAGAAAATCGCCCATAAATCGTATCCGCTGGCGATTCGCCCGTGTATTTAGAAAAATTTTCTAAAAAATCCCTATGGAAATTTGGTTTAATTTAGGGTGATTTTTCTTGAATTGAGAAATATTTTCCTATTTTTAGGGTGATTTGCCCTAAGTTTAAGGCGTATTTTTCTAAAAGTAAGGGCGAATTTTCTGTTTTTAAAGGCAAATGCCCTAAAAAATTATGCAAATTAATAAAAAACGTGTTTGAGCATGCTTAACTGAATTTGGGAAGCATGAATTTTAATCGTGTATATTCTGGGAACTGAGACTGCTTTAATTAAACAACACAGGCGGAGGACACCGTTTCATATTATTGTATTGGTGTGTAGCTTATATGGGAGCTGCGTTAGAAGGGGGGCCCGATCTATACAACACAGCCGTTAGAACTGAAAAATCATGTTTGTAAACGAATTAGGGAAATAAATATGAGGAGAAAAAACAACTTACTTTTTTTGGTCATTGCGAGAATCGAACCCACGACCTCTCGGTTTAGAGTCTAACGTCCTACCGCTGCACCACAGACCCATCGCGCAAGACAACGAACAAACTCTGCAGACATCTTATTTTCCTGAGGTCTACGTTATAATTTGACTAAAGGCAACTAAACCGAATATTTTTTTCCTGACGACTGTGACAATTAGTCCCGTTTTCTTGCCAGCAAACACAAAGTATGCTTTTAACTCAGAACTCCCATACGTTTTTAAGGTTTAAAGACTACTTTAATTTAAAATTCGGACGAAAAAATGTCCTTAGTATTATAACGTTTACAAAAAAAAAAAAAAACATAAAAATCAAGTTGAATCACACAGGGTTCGAACCCACAACCCCACGACCTTAGTCCTCATATAGCAAAGTTGAAAGCGCAAGTGATTAGACCGCTGGGCTACCGAATTTCACACTTTTGGAGTGATTTTTAAGGCGAATCGCCCTTGTATTTAGACAAATTTTAGAAAAAAAATTAGGGCAATTCGCCGTTGGATTTAGAAAAGGTCAAAACGAAGCAAATCGAAAAAAATCGCCCTAAATATTAGAAAAATAGAAAAATTAACCCTAAAAATATTTTTTTATGGTCACCTGCCTTGAATTTATGGCAAATTTGTCGTGAAAATAGAAAATTTTTCTCAGTTCAAGGGCGAAAATTTTTTTAGGGCGATTTTCTAAAATGTAGAAAATTATTTTTATGAGTGTAGTGTGGAAATAGAAAACGCAATAAGCAAATAAACAAACAATTAGCAGTTTGTGAAAAAATACAACAAATAAAAAAACACAGTATATGAACTAGCAGCGACGTCGACAGAGCCCTTTTGGCTTACGTTTTGTAAGCGGGTCAACTTGTCATAATGATTTACGTGCAAAACTAGCGACGACTAACAATGACACCTGTACTTGAACGCATAGTGGCGGCCAAATTTATAGCAATCGATTCAAGTAATAAAGTAAATCTCCATTCACAATGTGTGATTGGTAGTACGTGTTAGTTTGATTAACTTTTATTGCTTCATACATTGAGTATTTAAAGTAGGAAATATAAGGTTTATGTATAATTTACGTTATTTTTTATGTAAGGATAGGTATATTTGAAATAATAAAATAAATAATCTCAGAGTAGATATTAAAATATATTTTCGTATAGAAAAACGAAGGCAAAACAAGTTTTAAATTTGTAATGGAACCTTTTGGAAATAAAAGTTTCTTTGGGATAGTAAGTAAACAATTTCTTTTATTTAGGTTTCCAAGAAATTAAAATTTTTAAAAAGTACTCCAAACATTTAACATTAGCATTTACATTTTTTATTTAATTTAAATTTCCTTTCTCCAATATACAGATGCTATTGCTGCGACCTCGCCTGTGTCCATATATAAACGCACCCACAAGCGCAAACACTACGTACACCCACAACAATCCACTAGAGCCAGGGGAATTTGTGTTTTTATTAGAATTGTTATTATAGTCGCCGCCGCTTGCAGTGCATACAAAATGCAGAAAGAAAAACAGGCGCGGGTGGCAAATGCACGATGCTGGCGTCGCGTACAAAATTCAATTGTCAAGTGCAGTCGGTCGAGAGTGTTGTTGTTGTGGCAGCTGTTGTAGTTATTGTTGCACTTGCAAAATTTGTGGCATTGTTGTGGCAAGGCAAACTGCAGCTGGCAAAGCAGCCGAATACCAAATCGAGCTGGCTAATTTGAGCCAGCATAGAAAAAATACAAAATGTAGAAAGAAAAAAAAATAAATAAAAAAAAGTGCAACTCCCACACACACTGGAGAATTACAATTTTCCTGCGGTTGGCAATAAGAAAATGTGTATGGGAAATTACATAGAAAGGTTTGCGAACTTTTACAGCACCTGTGTTGTTTGCCCAGCGGGTTCAATAAAATGTGCACTTGAGCACTGCAGGAATTGAATGTGAAAGGCTTTTCCCGAGGGTAGAAGTTAAAGCCAGCCAACCACCTACACATAAAACTCCCTCCTTTGGTAAATAGAAAGCATGATGCACTCTTAGGAGATCTTTTAATATTTTGCTGATCGACTTATCGCTCTTTAACGACCATTAATCACCGATTCCTGCCAGGCGGATAATCTCGACCGAGGCTAACGTGGGCGGCCTTTCACCCAGCCAGCCAGCTAGCCAGGAAAATCCAGCTCAGATTTCAACAGCAAATGGCAAACTGTGCTGCCAAGCCAAACCACTTCGGACCCATTCACTTGGCCACCATCATAGCCATGAGCTGTAAGTTTTCTGGTCATTTGTGGGTCATGTGTATAAACGGCAAACTGCCGACACTAAACTGCATAATCAGCAACACAACAAGCGATATAGTAGTAAACCAAACACGACCCGCCAAAGTCATATTGAAATCAGCGAAAATGCAGGTAATGAGTGCACTCAACCTGGCTTAAATGAACAGAAGGTAAAATGTAGATATAACCTACACAAAATGTTTATGCAACTGCAGATACACTGGTTAATATTACTAACTATAAATGTAAATAGATTTGTACAAGTTGTAAAATAGTTAGGAACTTTTAAAATTTCTAGACATTTTATAGTAAAACAGAAATAAAAAAATATTTAAAAAAAAATTTTTTTGGGTTTACAAGTAATTTTATTGGTGCTAATTTTAATTTTTTTATTAATATTAAAATATTAATTTTTAGTTATTACAATATTTTTAAAAATATCATAACTTTTTCCAACTCCATATTAACTATCAAATCGTTTTTTTTTCAGTGTATTAATGCAATAGCCTCGAAAATTTGCTGATTTTCGTTTTGCGACCAAGTGAAACTGAAACCTTTGGACGGAAATGGGAAGCGCCACATCGACGTCATTGTCGATAATATTATTTCAGGGGCTGCGAATGAATGAGCCGTTTGGTATTCGTATTCGTAAGCAGTTGCGTTCTTGTTGCCATGGATATTTTGTCAAGTGGAGGGGTTTCTGGATTTTAAATAGCGGGGCGTATATACCGTAACTTCCTCTGCAGTTGATTTACTTATTCAAGTTATTTTCTGTATATACAGCATATATATTTTGTTTCCATTTATTATGATATGTATGCGCGGCATCGCTTGAAGAACACTGCTGCACTTGACTCCAATTACGGGTTTCTGTTTACGGATTTATGCTCGCTTGAGCGGAAAATGCATATACGTGTGGGGAGAGGGGGCTATGTTATGGGTATGCCGCTGATTGAGTCGGTGGTTGTGCGTAGCGTAGATATGTAGAAGTTTCGCCCGGGTAAAAGTTATTAAAAACCCAGCTGCATCTTCTTTGTCTGAGGAAAACAGACAACTTGTAGGAAAACATGAAAAGAGCAGCGAGCAGCGGCAATACGGATGTTGCATGCGCCAACAGAGATAAGACAATGCAATTGTTTGCACTTAAATTGAGTTTAAAGTCGTTGAAAGTCTGTAATACAGAGCAATTTACCAAGATAAAAGAGCACAGGAAGAGCACTTTTAATGGAAAATCAGAACAAAGCTGTGAAGGGAAGTGAAAAGATGACTAACGCAAGGCATTAGATGAGTAAAGTTAAGGGGTTTCTCAAAATAAATAGGTTATCATTAGGGTTCGTGACTAATTTAATAGTTCAAGAATCGATTCTCCTTTAAATGATTTATTTTTAAATTGCATTTAAATATGTATAAGCAATAGGTTATTAATTAGCATTGATTGTAAACCAAAAACTGTGTGCAAGAAGTGCAATTAGTAGAAACTCAATAACCACGTAGGTTGACAGCTCGGCATTTTCCCTAATTAGGTTCATATATCTGGCCACAAAATGGGAGAAAGCTGAATGCGTCATTTGATATGCTGATTCAGTTGCAGGCTCATCAATCCGAACCGCAGATATGTATTTATATCTGTATCTGAACAAAGCCCAGGCCAATCAATGACACAGATGCAATTATCATATGCAATTGTTACCATTGCGTGTGGCACTCGATGGATATGGATGTTATATCGAATCCTCCCTCAATCCGTCAATCAATCCTAACAGCCAACCGAAAAATATCAAAATCCATAGTCCATCAATGTCACTTAGAGCATCATGGGCACTTGTTGCATGTTTATTGGGGGTCTATTTTTGCTTTTTTCTCATAAAACTTACCATTGCGTGAAACATCTAGCTCGACGAGATTTTCAAAGTTTTGTATATCCGGCGGCAGGCGGCCAATTTCATTGTCACTCAGTCCCAGCTTTCTCAGGCGATGCAATCTGAAGAAATTCTGCAAGCACGAGAAGAGAGGAGATACAAGATTTAGACCTCAGCACGATTTAAAAGGGGGAAAAAGACAAAAGCCATTGGGATTGCAACTCAGTTAGTTCGTTTTCGTGGTCATAAATCTTCGAGGGGTTGTCATTTGTTTGGTGCCGTGACCCGTCGTCGTCCAAACAGTCAGTTTACCATTAGAATCCTGCCATTTCTTTTGGCCAGCTTTCCAGAGCTTTCCTTTCGACCCAGACAGATAGACATGTCGCCAACAATTCATTTATGAAAATCACGACTTCGATTCGAAACTTGGAAATAAATTATGTTGGCACTCCACGCGGACTTTCCAAAGTGAAGGGAATACCCAATACCCAATACCCATACCCTGACCTTCCTGCAATGTGGAGTAGTTGAATACTCATCTTTTTGGAAAGAAAGTTTCGGTTTCGGCCCCCCCACTGACTGACTCGCTGAGTCATAGACCTCAAGGTTAACAGCCCCTGCGATTTTTATCGCCCATTGTTGCCTGAGACTCTTGGGGTTCGGGGTTCTTAACTTGGGGCAAGGGAACCCAAAAGAGCAGTCGCCACCAGAATAATGAAAATAATTCGTAGTTGTGGCCGTAAAGTTTATTAAATTCTTTCTAGTTTTTTTTTCTTCTGCTGAATTTTTTGTTATGTTCTTTGTTTGCCCCACATGACAATAGAAGTGGCCAAGTGCTGGCGAGTTGTTGACCCAGTTCTTTTGGGGCTCTGAACAAGCGAATTCCGCACCTCGGCCAAGAAACACTAGCTGTTGGCCATTTACGGTCATACGAATCGAAAGGAATTTTTTTCTGGGAAGGGCAGACCATAAATTCATTTTGATATCCCCCCAAAAAATGATTTACACAACTATGATATTTTAATTTGCAAAAGTGCATATGACAGGGGAAATAAATCTCGCATTAATTGAAAGATAAATAAGCTATATTGAAAACATAATGATAAGGTTGTGCGCGTTCCCTTTCATCCCCATCTATATATAAAATAATTATATTTTTAATACAGATAAACACATCATTTTCCAAGTCGTAAAACCCTCGACTAATTAAAAAAGTATAATAATTATAGCGTAAACATGCTAGGTATTTTAAGTGTGTGCCTCAAACCAGAAGAAAAGTCAATGTCACAAAAAGAAACCACTGAACAAAGGGGCTTTTATTTTAAAGACAAAGCGGCTTAGGCTCCATCAGTGTCAGCTGCATTGCTTTTGGCCACCTACAATGGCCAGATTCCGTTTGCTATTTATGCACAGAAAAAGCTAAAAGCGAAAAGCCTTTCAACAAATCATGCGTCAAAAAGTTGCAACTGTCAGCGGGAAAAAAAGCAGCAAAAAATGTAGAAAAAATTCAGGAAGACAGGAAAACGTAACTTGCATATATGAAAATGGCCCACAAAAAGGGGCAACAGAATGGAATGGCCGAGAGACAAAAACGAGGACAAGGCATGACGACAATAAAAATGAATGCGAATTGTAAACTTTTCGCCAAGTGGTAGACCCTCTTTCCCCATATTTTTTTTTGCCACCCAACCAAGCAACAAAAGCCCACGCTGCAACTCGGGCTTGTTGTATGTATCTTGGCCATAAATTACCGGCCGGTCGGTTGGTTGGTTGGTTGGTCTGCCGGCCGGCATATATAGCCATGAGTACGAGTAACTATGGAGGGGCACTACCAGTTTGTCTGGCACTCGTATATATGGCAGATATAGATATATTGTAGACTCACTCACTCGGCAGCACACTTTTACTATTGTATCTAGTCGGAGCAGGCGCACAGCAAGTGGCAGTCAGTGGTCGTCGCATTTGGCCTGGCCAAAAACCCAACACAGTTCGAGGTTGCATCACAGACAACAGCCGACAAGTTGCTGGCTGTTTGAGCTGCATCATCATCATCGTGTGCATAATTCGATTTCTGCCTCGAAACTGGAAAACTAGACTACGTATAACGAAAAACAATTCAATTTGGCATTGTTAAAAGCCTGGTCGGAAAACCAATTTGCGCTGGCTAAAAGCAAAACTAATAGACCCCGATGGCTCTGGATTTTGGATTCTGAATTCCATCGTCCAGTTTTCAGAAATCCAGCAGCAAAAATCCAGTGCAACTGCACTGAACCATGACCTCTGGTATATGGAAATGTGCGCTTCGCTGCCCGCCAGCAATTTTTTAATGTGGCCCAGTATCTGCAAGTGTAATCTGAAAAAGCCAAATGTATCTGGCCCACTCACACAGCTCACAGAGAACACAGAACGCAGAACAGCGGGGTGTACGCACGTACAGACATCTAGCCATATAAAACCATATAGTCGCAGTTGCCGAGTGGTGTGTGCATGTTGCAAATGACTAGGCGCCCAGAAAACGCTGCACAATCGCCATGAAAACGGGTTCTAGATACATTTTTCGGCACGAATATATATCTCAGCGGACGCATCTGCAGCAGCCGCTGAAACCAGCTGAGCTAGAACAGCCAACAGCACAGAAAAAAGCGGACGGAAGAGACGGACAGACAGCGGCAATTATGTGCAGAGCTGGAGCTGAAGACTACGACTACGTTTAGTATTTCACGCCGCACTGGAGATACAAATTGCACAGAGAAAAAAAATGTTAAATATTTTAAAATTATTAAACAATATAAAAACATAAATAATATTCAGTCCTACAACCATTAAATCAAAACAACAAAATAAAAAATAAATAAAAAAAAATTAAGTTTTATTAATTTTTTATTACTTTGATTAATTTGAATTTTTTAAGTATCGAAAATGTAAAAAAACATTTCTGCAAGAATACAAAATATAGTTTTTTTTCAAGTGAAGTTTGGAGTAAAAACTTAGATTTAAAACCAATGTCCCGGGTTCAATACACACCGCTTTCTTTTACAAATATATTTTTTTACATTGAAAGTAATTTTGATGTTTAATTTACCTAAATTGGTAATTGTTAAGAAATATAGTTAAGAAAATAGGTAATTGTTAAGAAATATAGTTAGGACATTTTTAAATCATTATTATAGTTATTTTTATCAAATTTCTCTCTCTGTAAGTGGATACAAATGGCTGCCGGTGCCTTTGCCACGGCAACAGCAACATAGGAGTCGAAAAATATACAAATATGTGTAATCGTCGAACAAACAAGACACGAGCTAGCGAGCTTCTCCAGTGGCATCCGCACCGCAGAAGGAATCGGAATCGGGGATTCGGAATCGAAATCGAAATCACAGTAGTGTCTGCCTTTGTGTATCTGGGCGCCTGTTCCAATCTGTACATCTTCATTTTTCTATCCAACATTTTGCAGCCCCCGAAGTGCAGTGAGTGTTTGGTTTGTGTGCTTGTGCCCCGATGCATTTGTCATGCCAATGCCAACAAGCCAAGAAACCAGCCAACGACTTTCTTTATGGCCGCCTGCAGACGATGCAGCCACCGGATAAAACAGAGAATAAAAGATCCAACTGCTAGTCAGCGGAAAAGCACTTAACCGCTCCTCGTTTCCCCAAACAGCTGCTTGGGAAATTTAGTATCTTTTTTAGATGCAAATAAATAAAAACTGCAACGCAATAACCATATCAGGCGCCATAAATCTCAGTTGCATCTTGGCCGAATCTCGACTAAAAATTCATTATTTTGGCTAAATAACATTTTAAACAGCTGCAAACAAAATGCTCTCTCAGTGGTTCGCGTCGCTTGGACGCAATTGTTTGATACAAAAGCCTTCACAAACAATTAAGTGGAAAACATTTATTTATTTATAGGCAGCAAACCGGTTTGCACAAGCTCCAAGCTCAGTCAGTAGTGGCTAGAATAAAAGTGGTAAGCGATGGGGAATGCGAGAGAGGAGCGTTGTTGTAACGAAAACGAAATGAAAAACTCAAAACAAATCGAATGAAAAATTCCACAAGTGAAGTACAGTTCGTCTCGAGGCTATAAGATAAGTGCAGTTATATCGGAATGAGGCTTTAATCACGGAAAGGTGCTAAAAATAAAACGGATAATAGTTTTGTTTAGAGCAACACAAATTGGCGATTTTTATTGGCATTTTAGTTTGCTTTATTCATTATTTTCATATTTTTAAGAATTGAACTATAAATCACAGCTACTTAAGTTTCTTTAGATTTATTTCTTGTATTTTCTACCTATTTGGATTTTTTTAAAGGCTGACAGATATGTTTCTATTTTATTATGAATTTTTAATGCAATCACAAACGTCATATTTTTTTACGGTATTTTTTAGAACAGCCATATATCACATTAAATGTATGCGTTTTAATAGTTATTTATTTCATGGAAAAACTAACCTTTTATCACTTTCCAAGGCGTTACGATGTATTTTTTACTACTTCTACTACAAATATTTGTATACAAATGGAAATATTTTATACCTTATCTATTTATCTTTCAAGTTCTACATAAATTCCCGTGAAAAGCTCTAAAGATATATTGATGTTCAACATGTTGCCAAATCCGAGTTTTGTTATCATTTTTTTGGATATTTTTTTGGGGTAACCAGCAGGTGCTAAAGCCAAGTTATGCGCCGAGTAGTGAGTAGCGTTCACTTAGCCAAACTCACTAAAAGCGGACCGCCATTTTAGATTCTTTGCTGGCTGTTTTCGTAGCTGTTGTTGTCGTCGAGTTCGCTGTGTCAGGTACGCGCGATTACTACCAAATGATGTCATTGCCGCTTGCTTCTGGCTCTTTTCTTTGTGTGTGTTCAATAGCCAGACTGCCGGTTAAGTTTTCACAAGAGCCCCCGTCCCCTGGCCTCTAAAAAAAAACAAAAAAAAAGGCACCTGCTCCGCTTCAGGTTTCGAAAGCCAGAAAAGCGAATAACCAAAAGGGGGAGGTGTAGGTGGGTAGGTGGTCGGTCTGCTAAGCAGGTTGAACCTCAGGCCCATTGGGGCAATGCCAGGCGATAAGGTGATTACTCGGTATCTTATCTCCGAGCGTGACTAATTGGCCCAAATGAATGGGGCCAGCAGCGGTTGTGACTGTGAATGGGTATGGGTTTTCGGGTGGTTAGTCGTCCACCTTTAAGAAGCCAATTTCATGCCTCCACAGCGTTTCCTTGGGGTAGGTTATACTACATACTACATAGTATCTGTATCTGAACGATGAAGAGCCCTAAATCGAGCAGTTGCATCATGCAAATTACCAATTATATGGAATAGCATAGAAGGAACGACGCGGAGACGAAGACCCATTAAATGATTGCGGAAAATGCTAAATTCAAAACAGCATTTTCCCATTCAATTGCCAGCCAACTCCATCTGATGAAAGCCAACGAATGGTCGCAGATTGAGGCAGATTGTCGCCGAGTTAGCAACGATTCAATTGAGGAAGACAGTTTTCCATTACACTGGAAAAATACAAATTCTCACGGATTTTAAAATGGAGAAAATAATGAAATATGAATAACAGAAAAATTAATACAATAAATTCATCATATAAAGGTTATATTTTTATTGGAAGAAGGGATCCTTATCATTAGTAAAAATATGATGGTAATTACAGAAGAAATTTTAAGACCTATTTAATATTTGCTATATAAAGCTAAAAATTGCGGAAAAACACTTAGCAAAATTATTAGTAATAGTAATTAAACGTTTAAAATATTTAAAACTAGTTCATCCTTTTTAAATGTAACTTAATTATCTATGGAATATTATAAGAACTGCCTAGAATCGATTTTTAGCCTTTCAATCATAGTTTAATATCCTTTTTTTTAGCGTGTACCCTCCCCACACGTCGATGCTATGACAACGCGGAAATTGTGTACCGCTCTCAACAATCCACAAAAAAAAAAGGGTTGAGTTTGAGTCGAGCGATTCCATCAGCAGAAGCTAAACTGAAGCAACAATCACATCCGCCGCTGTCATTTGGTTCGCCATTCAAACGAACTCGGCAGCAGAACATCATCATTATATGGGAGACTTGTCCATTGTAGTTGCTGCTGTGGCTCCGATGTTGCTGCTGTTGCTGCCCGGCAGCAACATGTAGTTGCTGCTGCTGCGGTTGCAACATGTGACTATAGAGCGGTCTGAATTTGCATTAGAAGTTCATTAGTGAGTGCGGCTAAGCGGGAAGGAAGCTCGATGAGAATAGCTGGGGGAAAAATAGGAAAACTCTAAGGCACAAGACTCTAAAAAGCTGACCGCAAATGAATTGCAACCAGAGATCCAATATCTTTAGCCTCCCCCGCCGACAACTTGTTGCCATGTCAACGAGGGGAACAGCTATATAGTACTAATGTTTATGTCCGACTGCCTTGTTTACTTGTTTATTCAACAGCTGCAATCGTGGCGGAAGACGACCGCTGGCAAAAGCCAAATAAACAACAGCGACAGAATTATTCACCAGAGAATTATTTGGAAAAGAAGCAAAGCGAACACGACCACACCCAATTTATGGGCCATTATCAGGGCACTTGGCCACTCTAATTAGAATGCTGCACTTTGGCGGGGAGCTTTGATCATCGGTTGCGTAATTGCAGATTCAATTATGCAGCCACTCGCCATTATGACTGCTGCTGCACTGTCAAAGAAAAAAAAGAAGGCTACTCAAAAGCCCACTTGGCTTTGCATTTTTTCCCCCCATTTCCCCGCATTAATTAAAGACTTCCGGAGAACTTCTTCTTTTGTCGTAATTGTTGTCTTGGTAAATGGTAAATGGCGAGATGCCCCAGCAGATAGCTGACCAAAGGAGAATGGGGGCTTTTCCACGGTGGAAAATATAAAGAAAAAAGAAGGCAGAGAATGGCCCTGGGCGGGGTCAACGCACCCGGGGATGCAAATTACGAATTACGTGCCCAGCCATCAACCCCTTGAGCTTAGGACAAGTTTGCCAACGCAAAGCCATCCTCAATCGCCGCCAGACAAGGCCGTTGTGTTCCAAGTTGTTAAACAGATAAAAAAAAAGGGAAAACCAAGGGGTTCGAGCAGATCAAACAGTCCTTATCGGAATGTCCAAGCGTCTATTGGCATTTATCTACATCTTTTCTAACTGCTCTTTATTTTTCTTGGAAATTTATCATGATTCTGGGATCGTTTAGTATATATTTTCATAAATATAGCTATAAATAAATTCATTAATATTCCAGGTAATTAAAAGAAAAACAAAAGGAATACCTGTGGCTTTTTCTCTATATATTTTAATACAAACACTGCATCTATTAATATTAAATTTCATTTACCACCCACTATCTTATGTAGGTTTCACTCCAACAAAACCTGACTCGACGCAATTTATTCAATATCCCACGCACTTTGAACTATGACATTTGCGGGTTTGCACCACCCAGCAGCAGCCCAAAGTTGAGATTCAGTCAGCCCAGGTTGATTTTCCCGGGACCACGGTATACAGTCGAACTTCTTTGACCTGAACTACATTTTTTCGCATGTTTTTAAATTAATAAATAATTATACGGTTTTGTTGCCTTTGTTACTTACAGAATTAAATCATTATTTACAAACATTATTTCTTTAACTTTTTTATTTATGTCGAATATCATATTGGGGAATTTTTCTTTAATGAGTTATTACCCTTAAAATTTGGAATTTCACATTTTTATTCAACACTTTATTATCTCTCCTATGAATCATTAAGTTTTTAAAGCCAATAAACTTTTTTGTTATAAAAGTAAAGAAACAAACAAATGCGTTCATTTTTAAATTGCTTTATGCTTGAGGTTAGATTTTTTATTTGTAGTTTTAAAGGAATCTTTTGAAAATTAGTGTTTATTTGGAAAAGAATGCAAAATATTTCGAAAACATTGGGAACTAAAATGTTATGGATAAAAATATTATAATTATAAACTTTAATATTTGTTTTTTTAGGAGCCATGTATTTAATTTACAATACAAACAAAATAAATATTTTTATAAAAAAACACTACTTTTAATTTTATTCCGTTAATGAGTGTTTGAACATAAAAGTTTAAAATCAAAAAATGAAATAAGGAATAATTCGTACTAAGAAAGGAATCTTACAATATTTCTCCCCAAAATATGTTTTGTTTTTTATTTTATAGTTTAGTAAAAAGTCTTTCCTTCCAAAAGGCCAGTAAAATATGGTTAGTTATAAAAAATCAGAAAAAAAACTAAGAAAGGATCTCACAATATTTATCCTTAAAGTACCCAAAAATATGATTAATTTTTTTTAAAATTAGTAAAAAGTTTCTCCCAAAGTTTATTTTAAAAAATAATAAAACAATAAAACATTTTGTCGCCAAAACATTTGTTCTTCGTTTTTTATTTAAGATTGTTTCCTTTGCACTTTTAGAGAGTTTCTGCTCCATCCACTCACCTTGGGCAAGTCCCGGATGTGGTTGGCGTCCAGGAAGAGCTCCTCGAGGGTGCGGGAGTAGCGCAGGATCTCCTCGGGCACCTGCGGCAGCGAGCAGTGGCGCTTGTCCACGAACTCCACCTGCCGGTTGCAGCCCTTGAAGATGGGAATGCACTTGAACATGCTGCTCGTCTTCGGCCGCGTCGGCTGCGTCTGCTTTTGCTTTTTGGACGTCGTCTTGCCGGCTTTTCGGTCAATTGGGGGGTGGAAAAGGAGGAGGAGTTGGAGGGGGTGGTCTATATTATGTTATATCGCAACGTTGGCTCGTTTTCGATCGTCGGATGTCTATTAACTTGGCTAACTGGTTGGACACTTTATATTTTTTTTGCTTTTTTCTCTATTGGGCTTTTACTTATCGCACACGTTTCGCCCACATTTTTCACTGCAATTAAATTAAACATTTTATTTGTATTTATTTTCCCAGATTTTCACATTACGTTACGTTACGAAAAGGCAAAGGGAAAACGTAAGAAAGGAAGTTTTTTTTTTGTTGTTGCCTGGCCTTGCCATTTTGTTGTTGCTGCTCGCTGGAGTTTTTTGTTTGAGCGAAAGAGAGAGAAAAGAGAGCCAGCCGCCTACACACAAACATACATACAAACGGCGGACGCACAAAAACGCGCCTGTGTGGGTAATAAGCGAAATAATGAATAATAATCAATTCTAATTGGCACTTTGTTGGAATGCCATAAAACGCATTGCATCACGTAGTTTCAAAAAAAAAAAAAAGAACGCATCGCATTTGTTGCTTCCCCTGGACTGCGAATCTGGATGGAATGGCGGAATGGTGAAAAACTTGAGCGGAAAATTAACATTAATGCGACACACCCAAACAGACGCACACGCACACAGGGAAAGGGAAAAACCCGAAAGCCGGGAATCGAAATTGGAATAACTTTACGTGGTTTCTCCACATTTTTGTGCCCACTGTGCAGGCGGCGTATGTTTTGGAATTCACACACACATACATACGCGTACGCAGGACAACACATACACATGCATGCGCAACAACAAAATTCTTAGGCGGCGAAAAATCAGCGAAAAAGAGAGACAGAGAGAGCGAGCGTTTTCCCAACGTTTTTCGCACGCTTTAACACGTTATTCACGCGAGTATTTACTGTAGTTACAGGGGGGCCACACAAAACAACACAGAAATCGCGAAGCGCGTCTAAAAAACGAACACGTACACGCGCGCACACGCACACACTCGCACGCACATGCAGCCACAAAAACAGGCGGGTTTTTTTTCTTCACTTTCAAAAGCGGTCGAAAATCACGAGCGTCGGGCGAAAATCAACCGTTGTTTTCATCCGCGTTTCCAATTTTTCTCGTCCGTCCGCGCAACAACAACAATGTGTTCGTCGTGGGATGGGATAAAGTCGATAGTTTTCGGGATTATTTTTATGGTCTCACTAAAAATGACGCAGGGCTAGCCGAGACACGAACCGTACCGTGCGCCATTTTCAGTGTGACCATATTCAGCGATGGTTTGTGTCTCCGCTTAGCCGAGACGCGAACCATTTCTCTGCGTCACTTTTAGTACGACCGTATTTCCGTTAGCCGAGACACGAACCAGTCGCTGCGTCACTTTTAGTATGACCATGCTAATTTATCGGCATTTATCGATTATTTTTGAAAATGGGCGCCAAAAATGGCGCCAGCTGTTTTTAATTTCGTCAGGTGGCAACTCCAATCGCACACATGTTGCGCACTCTACCTTCTTTTAAAAGGGCATATCGATTTATAAGATTCAATAAATAAGAACTAACAAAAGTAATAGTTTTAAATAAATCATATAATTAAAGAGAAAGTACGAAGCAAATATTAAATTTTATTTTGAAATACTAAACTTGAGTTATATCATATTTGTGTAGGGTACCAAACTCCCGACCTGGCCTTGTAAAGCCGGCACTTTTAGATAATGGCCATGATTTTCACGAGGAAAACGCTAAAGCTGCTCAATTACCGCCTGAAATGCCTGACTCTAGCCAGTTCCGGTGGAAAGAGACGTATCCAGAGCAGCTCCAATGGAGAAGCGCCCTCCGTGGAGGTGAACTTCAGCAATGGGTGAGTATGTGCCCTCCACTGGAAGCTCCATTGGTAAAAACACCCCTCATTCCCCCGCAGACGTAACATGACCTTCAGTTCCGGCCGCCTGGCGAGATTCGCCAATGGAACGGCCGTCTGCCAGATGGGCGACACCGCCGTCATGGTCACGGCGGTGGCCAAGGCGAAGCCCAACCCCGGCCAGGGCTTCATGCCGCTGGTGGTGGACTACCGGCTGAAGAACGCCGCCTCCGGCAGGATACCCATGAACTTTATGCGCCGCGAACTGGGTCCCTCGGAGAAGGAGATCCTCTCGGCCCGCCTGATTGACCGCTCGCTGCGCCCGCTCTTCCACAAGGACTACCGCACGGAGACGCAGCTGGTGTGCAACATGCTGGCCATGGACGCGGTGCACAGCCCCGATGTGCTGGCCATCAATGCCGCCTCCATGGCGCTGTCCCTGAGCGATATTCCCTGGAACGGACCCATCGGAGCAGTGCGGTAAGTGGTTTATTGAATAGAATCCTGGTTTATTCCAAGGGAAAACCTCCTAATTAACCCCTAATCTCCTCTAGCGTTGGCCTCTGCGACGGCGAGGTGCTGATCAACCCCACGCGCCGCGAGCTGCAGTCCTCGCAGCTCGATCTCGTGGTCTCGGCCACCAAACAGAACCTGGTGGTCATGCTGGAGGGCAGGGGCAACGTGGTGCTGCAGCAGGACCTGCTCAAGGCCATCAAGCAGGGCACCCGGGAGGCCCAGTTCATCATCCACGAGATCGAGCGGCTGCAGAAGGCCTACGGCAGGCAAAAGCGCGAAGTGGAATCCTCGGACGAACCCGATCCTGAACTGGAGCAGGCTGTGAGGAGCATGTGTGAGATGCGGCTGCGGGAGATCTTCCAGGATGCGCAGCACGACAAGATCTCGCGCGACACGGCGGTGAATGAGGTGCGCTCGAATGTGATTGACAAGGTGTGGAGTTCCTTTCCGGACACGGAACCCTCGCAGATCGGCGAGCTGTTCAACCAGGCCAGTAGGAGCATCTTCCGGGAGCTGATCTTCGAGCGGGGACTGCGCTGCGATGGAAGGGATTACGACCAGCTGAGGAACATCTCCTGCCAGGTGGACATGTACAGGCCGCTCCACGGATCCGCTTTGTTCCAGCGCGGCCAGACGCAGGTCTTCTGCACGGTCAGCCTGGATTCGCCGGAGAGCGCGATGAAACTGGATTCGCTGGCCGCCTTGGAAAGCGGCGGCCTGAAGGCCAAGAACTTCATGCTGCACTACGAGTTTCCCCCATATGCCACCGGGGAAGTGGGTAGGATTGGGCCAGTGGGTCGGAGAGAACTAGGCCACGGCGCTTTGGCCGAGCGATCCCTGCTGCCCACCCTGCCCAACGACTATCCCTTCACCGTGCGCCTCACCTCCGAGGTGCTGGAGTCCAACGGGAGCAGCAGCATGGCCAGCGTTTGTGGCGGCTCCCTTGCTTTAATGGACGCCGGCGTGCCGGTGAGTGCTCCTGCTGCCGGCGTGGCCATCGGCCTGGTCACCAAGTTCGAGAACGAGGACACCAAGCACCTGCAGGACTACCGCATCCTCACCGACATCCTGGGCATCGAGGACTACATGGGCGACATGGACATGAAGGTGGCGGGCACCAGGAAGGGCTTCACCGCCATCCAGGCGGACTTAAAGATTCCTGGAATCCCACTGAAAGTGGTCATGGAATCGCTGCAAAAGGCCACGGATGCAAAGTCAAAGATTCTGGACATCATGGGCGAGGCCATCAGGGAGCCAAGGTGGGTTCTTAATATTTATACTCTTGCAGAGGGTATTATGATTTCAGTGAAGGAAGTATCTATATTCTTGATCAGCATCACTAGACGAGTCGATCTAGCCATGCCCGTCTGTCCGTCCGTTTCTACGCAAGCTAGTCTCTCAGTTTTTAAGCAATCGGAATGAAACTTTCCCAAAAGTCTTCTTTCTATTGCAGGTAGTATATAAGTCGGAACCGGGCGTATCGGACAACTATATAGTATAGCTCCCATGGGAAAGATAGGAAAAAAAAGTTTAAAAAATTATAGCTTCGATGATTTTTTAAATATTACCCTCTACTCTTGGGAATATTATTTTTTAAATGTCTATGAAAAAATCGGAACACTTTATCATATAGCTGCCATAGGAACAAAATTATTGCTTCGTTGGTTTTCATTGTATCCTCCTCTACTCTGGGATATGACTCTTTTTAAATATTTACGAATTTCGATTTTAATTTTATCAAAATGAACTACTATATCATATAGCTGCCATAGGAAAGTCAAAAAAAAATAATGTCAAAATAATAGTAAATATAACATTTTTGCAATTTGTAAATTAATAGGAATGATCTGCAAGGGTATATAAGCTCCCTTTCTTGTTCCCAGCCTGGTTTTAGTTACTCATCCTTTAATCTTACAGGAAATACCCCAAAGACAGCTGGCCCGTGAGCGAAACCCTGACGGTGGAGCCACAGCAGCGGGCGCAGTTGATCGGTCCCAGTGGCCTGCACATGAAAAGGATCTATTTAGAAACGGGCACCTCGCTCACCGCCGCCGACGAGACCCACTTCAATGTGTTCGCTCCTTCGCAGGCCGCCATGGACGAGGCCAAGGAGCTGATCGAGGGCTACATGGTCAGGGAACGAGTGCCGGACCTCGAGTTCGGCGGAATCTACACTGCCAAAATCACGGAGCTGCGGGACACCGGGGTGATGGTCATCCTGTATCCCAGCATGCCGCCCGCCCTGCTGCACAATTCGCAGCTGGACCAGCGCAAGATAGCCCATCCTTCGGCTTTGAATTTGGAGGTGGGTCAGGAGATCCAGGTCAAGTACTTCGGGCGCGATCCCGTCTCCGGCTTCATGCGCCTCTCGCGAAAGGTTCTCCAGGGACCCGCCGTCGCGATTCCCCGTTCGCTTAACAAATCCGCCGGGGAAAGCGGAACGTGAGAGGATCAGGATAAACTATGTACAGTTCTCGGTTGTTATGTTCTTCCCCGCCGGAAGACACACTTTCAAATCATGCAACTTTATTGTAGGCTAAAAAATTTCGTGTTTAAAACTTGTACGTGTATAAAAAATATTGATGAAGATTTAACGTCCTTTTGTTATGGATTGGAAACCAGGATAGTAAGCCTCTACTTTAAAATATATATTTCTACATTAGGAATTTTTTTTTGCAAGTTTTCAACTATTCCTTTGACTTAGGCGTTTTTTTACTTCTAACCAAGTAAGATATAATCTATTTGCTTATAACTAAGAGCTCTCATTAAAGAAAGTATTACATGAAGGGGCAGAATCTCATAAATTCCACTCAATCCAATATTAAACTGATCTTATATGAACGAATTTTGATTCGAAAAAGGTTAAATGGCACGCAGGAAGTAGAATTTTTGGCCAGAATAATTTGTGACATTCGAAGCTTAAACTAATGGCGTAAGACTACTAAGTAGCAACGCCCGATCTGTGCATTTGGTGTTGGCTAGATGATGACCCGGTAGTAGGAATCGGAAATGCTGTACAAGGCCACGATTGGAGTCTTGGCGTCGCTCAGATGGTCCACAACCTCGTCGTTTATCTCGGATATATAGCGTTTGTATTTCGGAAATCTAGAATAGATAGATTATAGATTAGGATATATTAGACTAAGAGAGATTCACTAGCTCACCTCTCGATCACAAAGTTGATTTCCGGTTCAGTCTCTTTTTTGCGTATCTCCCGGGGATTGATGGCGCCCACAATGGCGTTTACCACCGCAGGCGGCAGCTCCACCACCAGCACCACGAAGGTCTCCTTCTTGAGGAACTGCGACAGAGTGGAGCTCATCTGCGTGGCCACTTGGTTCTCCAGGCGCCGCTTGTAGTTCGCCGTGGGCTTGTCGTGGGTGAGGAACGTGACCTGGAGATTCGGCAGCTGGCTGTAGCTGTTCTTTATCGTGGCATTCGATCCAGAGGTGCTGAGTCCATTCTCCCTTTCCCTTCCGCCGCTGCTCCTGTTGTCGCCGGCGCCCAGGCTGCTCAACTGGCTCGAGTTCTCCACCGTAGACCCATTAAACCCATCCGTGCGCAGCAACTTCTGGATAAACTCCACCAGTTCGCTTCTGGTCAGGTGACGCTCCTGGAAGCGCTCCCGCTCGAAGGATCTCACCCGCAGCGAGCCATTCTCCGCCACCAGGATGACATGCAGAGCTCCCAGGCGGGCGAGATCCTGTGCCTCGTCGCCCAGTTCGCTGGCCGCTTCCACGATGCCGCAACGGATGCCCACCGACCAGAGCAGCCGCATTATGTAGGTCACATCCTTGAGCGGCGGTCGGGTGCCGCACACACAGATGCCCACATCGATGGCGCGACAGTCCTTGGCGTACTCCACGCCCACGGCAGCCACCAGTTTGTCCAGCGAGAAGGTCAATCCCGCGCCACTGAGAACTCCTCGAGCGGTCATGGCGGGATTAAAGCTCTGCGCTTGCTTCTGGAACTCGTGCAGCATGGAATCGTATCGCTCGCCAATGGCCAGAACCGAGGGATGACCCGAGCGATTGGGTTTCAGGTCGGCAGTCATCTGCCACACGATTCCGCCGCTGCTGGCGCGATCGAAACTGATGGGCAGACCAGCCCAAATGTGAATGGGGCACTGAAAAAGGGAAGGGAAGTGGTTATCACAAGGTTACTATCTCAAAAGCAGGGTTCGGAAATTGACACACATGTTAAAAACATGAAAAATTGTATTTTACAGTATGAGTAAAATTGTTGACATATGTGTCATATACAAAAGTCTTAAAATGTGAAATATAATTGTAAACACACACAGCTCACTTACGTTTTTTACACAATGTGTTATTACCACGACGTGTTTTTTTACACACTGTGTTTTTAGCACAAATGAAAGTTACATTTCACTGACATTAACGAGTCGAAGGGAAAATGAAAAATCAATATGGGTCAAAAACTCATTGTGTTCAAAACACGCTGTGTAAAAAACACGTCGTGTAAATAACACAAATAACATATGTGTGTTATTTATGTTTCTAGCATATGTAGAATACAATTGTTTACACACAAGTAAATAACTTTTTTTGAACTTAACACTCTGACATTTAAATGTTAATAACACAAGTTTTCTACAGTGTGTGTTATTTTTCGAACCCTGCTCAAAAGTTAGTCACCAACCTTTACACCCAGACTGTAGGCCAGTCCCACCACCGTTTCCAGCTCCCTCAGCGCTCCTCTGGCCAGCGAGGCCGCCTCGCCCTTGCCGCGCATCAGGGATTTCAGCGCCGAATCGTCCACGGTGCTCCTGGAACCGGTCAGCAGAAAGTTGGCCAGCAGCATGTCCATCAGCGTTTGCGCCGAGGTGCGCGACTTCTCCATAATCCCTGTGATACTCGAGTGGAACTGGAAGCGCGAGATGCGCGACTCGATAAAGTCCATGGTGCCCTCGAACAGAGCTCCATATTGAGCTTTTGGTACGTTGCAGAAGATGAGAATGGCCCTAAGCAGATTCGTGTGGTTCATGCGGATCGCCAGATTCTTTTCCCTCAAACGCGGCAGCTCGCTGGTGATCTCAAACGCCAGGGAGAGGAGTTCCGCATCCACCAGATGGCTACCAGTTGTAGGTGCTATGATATCAAAAGAGCAGTCGTAGCTCTGCTTGGGATGGAAGTTAAACACCCGCTCCTCGCGGTAAACGCGATCCACGCAGTAGCGGCGGATGAGATTCACGCTGTTCATGGTCACGTGGCGGGCAAACTGGGTGCGCAGATCGCAGGGCAGGACGACCACGCATCCCGAGTGGGTCATCAGGTGGACGGCATTGGCGCTGGCATTGGCCGCGCTGTTCCTCGCGGAGAGTGGCGACAGGAGCGGTGAGTCCACCTCGATGGCTCCGTGTTTGCGGAAGAGATTCACCACCTTGGCCTTGACGAACTCAATCACGGGATTCAGCGAGACTATGTCGTCGATTATGATGGCCGAGTTCCAGGACTTCATGGCCCGACTGCTGCCTAAATGGTAGGTGTGCTCCAGGACCTCGTCGCTCTCCTGCTGCAGACAGCGGGCCACCAGATGCTTGTAGGCCTTGCTCTGCGGATTGGCGAGGGCGTGGCGCAGCATCTCCTGCAGCTCGTTGGCCTCCAGCTGGGCAGGTGGTACCAGGTCCGAGATGAGCAGCTCCTCGGCCGTTGGCCGCTGGGCGGGATCGTGGTTGAGCAGCCACTGAAGCATCTGGGGGGTTATATACAATAGTAAGTCATTCTAAACTTCTTAAACAAGGATTGTAATAGAGCCCTGCGTGAATCATTCAATTTTTGTTTTATCATAGTATGCCATGAAATTTTTGATTTGTTTAATTCAATTCTATGTGAAATTAATTAAATGTTTTTCTAATTCATTTCGAATTGAATGAATAAATGAATAGTTTTTATGAATTTGCCAGATTTTTGTTGTGTTTTTTTTTTTTTAACAAAAAATTAAAAATTTAAAAAAAATCAATTTTAACTGTCTTAAAAATAAAATTCACAAAATTATGGCCCTTTTCTTCAAAAGAAATTGTCGTTGGAATTATTTCGGAATTCATGCCATTCATTCATTCAATTCTATTAAACTCAAAATTCAAATTCACTCAATTCTATTAAACTCAAAATTCTAATTATTTCATTCATAAAAACAAAAAATTCAAAATAATTCGTTGAATCTCTAGATTGTAATATTCACCTTTACAGTTTTCTCGTACTTTGAATCCTTGAGCATCGCCTCTGGTATGTTGATGGACACATTCCTCAGCGACATGATGGTCTGAGCCCGTTCCATGCTCGTGTCGAAAGGCGGTTGACACATTTCGAAGAGAATAATCCCTAGCGTATACATGTCCACCTTTTGATTGTAAACGGACTTCGAGGCATTCCCTGTCAATTCAGGGGCCACGTAGAGCGTGGTTCCCACCTTTCCCGTGCCAGTTCCATCCTCTGTGCTGGTTATTTGATTAACAGGCGCCGGGGCCGCATATTCGTGGGCCTGCAGGGCCAGAAAACTGGTGGTGGCCAGGCCAAAGTCGCCGATCTTGATCTGATCGTGCGAGTCCAAGAAGATGTTCACTGGCTTCAAGTCGCGATGGATGATGCCCTGCTGATGGATGTGCGCCAGACCCTCGGCGATTTCCCTAAACAAACGCCACAGGCGATCTGAATCATCAAAGAGATTATCATCGATGGCGGTGCTGTAAGGAATGAGTTTTTGACATTAAAGCGTCTGAATTGTATGTTGAACTAAAAAATTCACGGTTTTCTAGAATATAAGAATTCACATTCTTTGAAATGGTTAAAACTAACATTTAAGATATCATGGTCCATATTGGTTTTTCATTTTCCCTTCGAACCGTTAATGTCAGTGAAATGTAATTAAACGTAATGTTAAAAACACAGTGGTAAAAAACACGTCGTGTTAATAACACGTTTGTTTTTCATGTTTCTAACATGTGTGTAAATTTCCGAACCCTGTTATTCTCTGAGAAAATCTTCCTCACCGCAGTGTGCACTTCTCGCAAAACTCCATCTGGATGTACATGACCTGCATCAGAGGCTTTGGGGAGTTGGTCTTGCCCCTGGTGGAGTCGTCCTCCTCCTCTTCGTCATCGTAGACAGCCACTTTGCCATTGGAGTCTACGAACTCGATGCCATCTGAATCGGAATCCTCCATGGTGGGTCTGTTTTACCATAATATAATTATTTAAACCGAAGAGATAAGTTATTTCCTTACATATAACCATTCCACATGCTGGACGAGCTGTCCTCCTCGTCCTCCTCCAAAGTGGCTCCCAGTTGCGGCGACTTGGCGGGCTTCACGCTCAGCTCCTGCTGACTCTGCGACCACTCGCCACCCAGCAACTTGTCCATCTCCTCCGCATCGGCGTCGTCCACACTCTCTATCCAACTGTTGAAGTAGCGCACCACATTCTCGTGATTCAGCCGCGATAGCAGCTCCACCTCGCGCGTCATCTTCTTGTAGAGCTGGCGACTCCTCGCGGGCAGTGGAATCCGCTTGATGGCATACTCCCGGTTGTCCAGGATGTTACGCACCTTTAGCACGTCCCCGAAGGCGCCCTTTCCCAAATACATGAGCACCTCGAACTCGGTGCGCAGGCGGGATTGACTGAGGGCCAGTGTGGGTATCTGGTAGGGCATGGCGGGTCCCGTGCGCTGGACAGGATTGGGATGGCGCTGCTGTGTCACTGGCATCACCTGCTGCTGCTGGCCGTTGTCCACGTAGAAGCGCAGGAAGGGATGTTCCAGCAGCTCGGAGGCGGAGAGCGTGCGGTCTGAATTGCATCTGTAATAGGGGAATTATATGATTAGTAGGAAATCTATTTATTCCTTTGCTATATCATAATACTTGTCTACAAAATCGCGCATCTCATAACTGTTCGTGGGCATCAGGCTCTCTACTAAGGCGCCCAAAGCGGGCAGATCCCCGCGACTGCTGCTCTGCCCGGTTCCACTCAGCAGCTCCAGAAGATTAGGCACCAGCGAAAAGTCCGAGACGCGCACATTGCCCGTGTTGTCCATGAAAACGGTGCTGTCCAGCAGGTGGCTGTGCGAAACACCCTTGTTGTGCAGGAAAACCAAGGCATCCAGGACGCCGCGGGCCACCATTCGGGCGCCGTCCATGCACCAGCCTAAGGAGGAGGAGATACTAAACACACTGGTGCCTAGGAGGAAGTCCTGGACCAGGTAGACCAACAGGCCTTCCTTGCGCTTGATGCACAGCACGCACTCGTAGGAAACGAGGTTCTTGTGCTGCAGTTGGGAAAGAGAGGCCACCTGCTTCTCAATGGCGGCGATTACGTCGTCCACACGATGGCTTCCTAAGCACTTTGGTTCGCTGCTCCAGTGGCACTTGCCCCCGCCAACGCAGGGCTGCTCCAGCTGGCCGTACTTGATGTTCCACTCGCTGATGTACAGCAGCTGGCCGCAGTGCATGTCTATCCCCGTGTAGGCGATGCATCCCCTTTGCGAGTGACCTATATAACATATAGTTTAGTAATTATAAATTTTTAGAGAGCGGGGAAACCCTCACCCACGCAGCAGCCCCTCTGTATTTGCCTGCCCATCTTGTGGAAGTAGAGCGTCTCCGTGTTGCGGTGATCCAGGCACTTGGAGGGGTAAATATGCCCCCTGTAATACGGCGAGGAGTTCTCGGAACTCTCTGAGGAGCTGGGATGCCGGGGATTGGACTCGCTCATGCTGCGCCTGGGCTCGCCGCGCCGCTTGGCCTCCGTCTTGAACATCTCCTTGCGCCGCTCCACCTCGTCGATGAGCGTCTGGCGTTGCAGCGACTCCCGCTGCCGCTGCATGTCCTGCAGCTCCTGATCGCGCTTCTGCTTGTCCTGGAGCATTTGGTCATAGAAGGAGCCCTTCGGTGGCTTGTTGTGCTCGAGCAGGAAGGCCTGAACGGTCTGGGCCAGTTCGTAAATCATAACCTCGCCGCGCAGCTCCTGGGATTGGGCCTGCAGCTGGTTGCGCAGCTCCTCCAGCAGCTGATCCGACATGCCCTTGGACTCCTCGAGAGAGATTTTGGGGGGTCTGGGGGGTAGAATGATTAGTTGAGTTCTTTAGGGGGTTTATCAACGGGTTCCTACAATTTCGGGTACTTGGAGGGACAGGTGACGTGCAGCTTGGTGCACACATAGGCCTCCAGTCCGTTGGAGGAGTCCCGCAGCGGGGTCAGCTGGATCCGGATGTCCGTGGGCTTCCACAGCGAGGGATTTGCCTGGGGCCGCAGGTCCTCCACATCGCCGCCAAAGATGGACTGTTTGGTTAGAGATTAGAGATTAGTTGGATGGTTTATAAATACAAAACAGCTGCTCACTTTTATGACCTCCAGTTCTTGGGTTTGCCGCTCCCGGAAGGATTCCTTGGTGGCCATTTCGTCCGCCATTTGTTCGTAGAATCTCAGTTGAAGGGGTCTTGAGTCAAATCCCGGCTACATTGGGTTGCTTTGGAATACTGGATCGGTGGTTCTCCCCTCTTTTCCTCTTTTTCCACCGGGTTATAAGATTTGCAGCCGGTCTTCTGCGCTGGCAGCTGTTTCCCAATCAGCTGCGTTCTGCATCACTTTGCCTCGTTCTTCGACTGGGAATCAATGCCGAATCGATTTATCCGCTGGTTTATTCCGTTTTATTGCGTAAATGTGTCCACCTGTTGCGCTTTTTTGGTGAATTTTCCCGGATAAGAAAATTTTTGCGTATTTGTACTTTTACTCGTAGAAATCAGGATGGCAACTCTTTTCCTTCAATGGAGTTGCCATCCTTCTGATTTTGAACGGTTGATGTTTCTACCTCTATCGGCAAAATCGATATTTTGGCGCCAACGTTTAAATAGTCCCCTCTATTGCTGAAAATCTGTTTCAATTTTATAACCAGATTATTTATTGTCACCCGAGTCCCACTTTCAAGAACCATTGAATAAATCGCAATTTACAAAGTCTTTTTCAGAGTTTCTGGAGATATAAGAGTGATTTCAAAACCCCATCTATAATTTAAAATGTCGAAATCTTTGAAAAATAGATGTCAAACCGTTCATAAAAAGATAGTGGGTGTAATGGATTAATGTATTTGAAGATAACATTTTAATGAGCGATTCATGACAATGGTGATTGGCAGCTATTTTGAATAACCTACTTTTCTGATATTGTCTTTCTCCGTTGATTTAGCTTATCTATAGTCAAATTTTGAAATTTTTGTTGGTTCGCACCAGATTTCTGATATGCCTTATCGTTCGAGAACACAAGATTTTTCATTGGCGAGCTGAGCCATTTAGTCTTCCATTTGATCTTGAACAGTCCAAATATGTGGCGGATCTTTCTGCTGGTGTTTCTTCTGCCGGGTTATTTGGAAGGTGCTCGAATCCTGGCTCTGTTTCCCATACCGAGTCCTTCGCATTACTTTTTTGCCTTGCCCTATCTGAAGAGGTTGGCCGCCGAGGGTCATGAGATAACCACTGTGAATCCGTTTCCTCTCAAGGAGCCTGTGAAAAATATACAAGATGTTCCTATTCTGGAGGTTTTTGACAACTTTAATGGTAAGGTGGTACTGTATTTTATAGTTTTTCGATAAAATAATGAAATATCCTTCCAGAAATCCTTAAATCTGCCACCTCCCCCAGGAGCACTTGGCGCGGTAGTGATTTCATCAATGAATACACCCTCAACCTCACAAACATAGTGCTGAATAATGAGGGGGTGCGTCGTGAGATTCTCGGCCCCAAAAGTCCTCATTTCGATCTTGTGATAATGGATCTCTGGCGGATCGACGCTCTCTGCGGTCTGGCGGCCCATTTCGGGGCCCCAATTATTGGAATGGCTCCATATGGCACCGACTGGAAGATTGACGAACTAGTAGGCAATGTCTCACCAATGTCCTACCTGCAATCTCCCTCTTCTCGACTCCACAATTTGGATACTTATGGAGGAAGATTGTCACACTTTATAGAACGATCTATTTCCTGGATCAACTACAAGTGGCGGCATGCGGAAAAGCAAAGGGAGCTCTATAGGAAGTACTTCCCGGGCATTGCCAAGGAGAAACCTCTCTCGGAGACCTCCAAAAACTTTGCTTTAATCCTCGTTAATCAGCACTTTACATTGGCTTCGCCACGTCCCTATGTTCCCAATATGATCGAGGTGGGTGGTCTGCATGTCGATCAGAATCCTAGGATGTTACCCACCGAACTAGAGGACTTTATCCAGGGTGCTGGTGACGCAGGAGTAATCTACTTCTCCCTGGGAACCAATGTCAAAAGTAAATCTCTGTCCGAGGATCGAAGAAGGGTTCTGCTCGAAACTTTCTCCGGTTTACCACAGCGAATCCTGTGGAAATTCGAGGATGATCAGTTGCAGGGGAAACCTTCAAATGTTTACATAAGCAAGTGGTTTCCTCAGCAGGATCTGCTAGCCCATCCCAAGGTTAAACTCTTTATAACCCACGGCGGTCTTTTGAGCACTGTAGAGAGCACCTATCATGGAAAGCCCATGTTGGGTTTGCCTTGCTTCTTTGACCAGTTCCGCAACATGGAACATGTTCAACGAATGGGTCTGGGTTTGGTTCTCAATTTAAAGGAAATGACAAGAGATGATTTCAATTCGACCATTATACGACTATTGACGGATCGGAGTTTCGGGGAAACGGCCAGGATTACGGCAGCCAGGCATCGGGATCAACCCATGAAGCCCATGGAAAAGGCCATCTGGTGGACCCACTACATCCTGCGGCACAAGGGAGCTGCCCACATGCGAGTGGATGGAAGGGATTTGGACTTTATCAGATACCACAGCCTGGATGTCCTGGCCACCTTTTTGATTGCTTTGTTAGCTATCCTAGGAGTTGTCGGTTATTGTGTGGTTAAAGCCTGTAAAAGCTTTTCATTTGTGAAAAGGCACAATAAGCTAAAGAAAAAGGTTCAATGAAATAAGTATGTATTTTCAAACCATTAATTCAAATAAAGTTCAACTACCCACACTGAAGAAAAATCTATGTGAAATGTTCATATCAATAAAAATCCGATATGAATAATGTCAAACTTATGATTCAAGCATATCAACTTGATAGTTTCATACCAATTAAAATACCAAATGTAGTATTTTTCGAAAAAATATTGTAAAATAATGTAAAAATGATATGAATAACTCGATCTTAAACATATTAATCTGAAATTATGTAAATTTTTTGTTTGTGCAATACATAGAATTGTTTTTTAAGGGTTGAGACACCCCTATACCTTTTATTTCGGGTTTGTCACTCTGATAGATCTTTTGAGATCGTTTGTTCTTCAATGAGCAGCTTCATTAAAGCTCGATTGTAACGGTGATTCGTCCAATGTAATGGTTGTCTCGTTTTGTAACCAAAAATACCTTGTTTTTCGTGTTAAACTAAGCTGCAATTATTATCCTCAATCATGGAGCAAATTCGAGCTGTGGTGCAGTTGAGTGATAGTAAAACCGATCGGAAACCTAACTATCCTGGTGCTGGTTCACCTGGAAGGGATCAAGATGGCGGCCAGGTGAGCATTCTGGACGACCACAGCCTCCGACTGCTCCGCTGTCAAAATAAAAAATCCAAGCCGCACCTGCTGATGTCCCAGAACCTCCACTTCGATGTGCTGAGCACCCGGGAAAGCGGCCAAGAGATTCCCGTTCTTCTGGAGAATCTCTTCGGCAAGAAGAGAGATGCCTTCCTGATCCACCTGAAGGTCAGAAGGGAGTGCCACCTGATGTTTCTCCTCGATACCCTGGTGATCCAGGTGAGATCGAAGCTGCAGAGTCAGGGTCTCCGCATCGAACAGGGTGCCTTGTGGTTCCGGAAGCTCCTGGAGGATGACGGAGTGGGAAACCATTTGAAGACGTATCACTCCTTCGGCGACCTCCACGAACTGATGCTGTGGCTCCTGAATCAGTACAGGATGCGGGCTCAACTCAGCACAGGACCCGGTCACGAAGCCCTGGAGGTTCAGTACATGGTCTCCCCGGAGGACACTCGCATCCCGTTCTCCGTCCGCCTGTCCATTCTTCTGGTGGCCACGGAGGAGCTGAGTGTGGAGTCGCTTTTAGGATTGCGTTACTACTTTAATGATGAGCAAACCGAATCGGAGGTGGTCTCCACCGAACTCATTGACTTTATGCAGAGGGTGATCGAGTTGGGTCGCCGGAATTCCTTGTACATGCCTGTTTTCTTCCATGTGATGGCCACCAATTCCCAGGTGGATAAACAGAATGCCCAGCTCCTCAGCCTGGCTCACCTGGCCAGTCGTCACAATCGTCAGCCGATTAACCTGGTGAGTATTCATCAGGGTTTTCTTATCAAATCTTTAAACTTATTATTACTTTTAGTGCTTTAACCACTTGAATCACCTGGAGACGCAACAGAAGGAGATCGAGGATCGCTTTAGACTGGTCCACGCCAGTCTGATGCGGTGCATCCAGAAGGCGGAGCAACTCAAGAGCTATCGCAAGCGTTTCGATGAGCAATTGGCTGAGTACGAGGAACTACTAAAGCAGACTGCCCATACAGAATTTGGCCAATTTCTATCATATCAATAGCCTGGTGGAAAAAAATAACTATGAATGTAATGAGCCAGCTGTCAACCCACTTTTAGGCTATCAAAATTAAATTCTTGTTTTCAAAATTTAAGTTTTATCAAAAATATAATGAACAGCCCTCCGGCAACCAAAAAAAATCATCTTGTGATGGTGGTTCTCACAGATCCCAAGCGACGTGGTCAAATAGATGATCAAAATCTGGAAAATGATATCAGGCTCTTGGACAGCAAGTCAATGTTGTTGAGGATGCAGAATAGCTCAGCCAAAGCTGGTAATCTAGTAAATCCCCCTCGGTACTATCGTCACCTGGAATTCGATTCAATAGGACAGGATTTTGAGAATCACATTAGAACGGAGCTAGGAGATTTTATAAGTCAAATGTTTCGTCACCGACGTCATGGAAGTCTGCTGCGTTTTGCCACCCAAAGAAACCATAATCCTAACTTCTTAACCCGCCTTTTGATCAACGAAGTGGACAAACAGATGGTCGAAATGCGCTGTCGTTTGAAATCAGTTAACATAGATTACTTTGACGTGCGAAAGTTTGACATGGTCAACATGTTGGTGGAACCCACTGCAGTTCCCAATCGTCGAAGGGTTACACCATGCGGAAAAAATATCTCAAACACCAGAGATCTATTTCAGTGGCTCATCAATGATCTCACCTCTTTAAGGACTCGTGGAATTGGCGATGACTATCTGGACTTTGAGTTTGTGTACCGGGATAGTTTGGCCCTTCAGCACAGGATTCATCTTTCAGTGTTTCACATCTTTGGCAGCGAAAACCGACCCGATTTGGTGGAGTTCTTCCAGAATTTGCCACAGGGCAGGCAAAATGGTAGCACTCTATTAAATGATTGTTTGAAAGAGTCCTTTGACTTTAGGAGTCCCAGTCCTGCGGTGGTCATTTTCGAACTACCCATAGCAGCCGATCAAAGTGACGCAAGGAGAAAGATCTTGAAACTAGCGGATATAGCTTATGGATCCCTGGAGAAAGCCAGAAAATTAATAGTTAAATCGGAAACGAAATCTATCTCTCAGAGTTCTCTGCACTTAAGCAAAGTTTGTAGAGGTTCCGGAACCCGTAGTTCTGTGAGATCCGTGCCTGATGTATCCCTAGCCCATTGGCGTCGCACTGCCAAGTTCTCAGCTAAGGACTATAATGGGCTGGCCTACTGGTATGGTCGCATAGATTCCAAGTTTTCGGAACTTAAACTGGCCATGGAGCAGCATTTTGTGGATCTATATAGAAAGAAAAGTCTAGACCTGCGTAGTGAAATTAGGTCCATCAACCAAGATCTGAGTGAGGAGATTGACGAAAGTGGTGGCGATGGTGCCAGGTTACCTTGGCCCATTAGAGATCCAGATTCCACCAGGAAGATATATTCCATCTTAAAAAAAGAATTCAAGCAACTAGAAACTGAGGCAGAGAAAACCCCATTCGCCTCGACCCTAAAAGTCTATATTAGCACCAAAAACTATGAACTTCAAGAGGCCGAAAAAAACCTCAAGCAAAGGGAAATTGAGAATCTAAGACTAGGTCTGATTAAGTACATCAATACGCCGGATTCCAGCATTTCCGGGGACTAGAAGTTTAACTAAATGTCACCGTGATGTCACTTGTGATGTCTAGTGAAACTCCTGCTCCCAAGTGAAAACCTTGAAAAATAAATATATAATAAAGTTGTTTAGGGTATACATTTAATATAATATACATTTATATATAAATACATTATTATTGTCAACAATATGTTTCATAGTAGTTAAACAGATTCCCCAGCTGCGGCTCCATATTTTTGTCGTATGTGTGTAACAGTTAAATAGTTGAATGCTAAATAGGCAATAATATTTCTATATGAATAACACTTAATGCCGAACACCCAAAGCAACAACAACTAATGAATGTTTAAATCAATGCTAGATCAATTGGACTTCGTAATTAGACAACAACTCGCATATATAGTGTTATTCTCGATATTCTCGATATATTTAATATGTATGTTGGCAATGTTCCTGTTATTCGTTCAACAACTTTGAATCGTTTTTCTCTTGTTGGATATGTGCATTGGGCGATGGTTTTGTATTTTGTAGATTCGACCGGGATTTGTACAGGTAACACTCTCTACGATGCACGAATGAAACCTAAACTGAGCAACCTAAAGGTAGTTTTTCGTATCTTAAGTAAATGAAATAGAATTGCAGTGCCACTTAAGCTAGATTCACTTAAATCAAAGGGGGGAAAAATAATCAAAGGTGCTCTAAAATGTCTGTGATTCATAGGTATTTATAAATTAGCTCTGTAGATCCTTCTGTTGAGTATGTTCAAGCGTTCTTCTAGCCTTTCTACTTCAAAGCTAAGCCTAGAGCATGTGGTTCCTAAATGAGTTAAACAATAGCTTTTCATGGGCGCTTCACATTTTTGAGAATACTCCAAAGATAGTAAAAGACTCGTTCTGCTCTCTTAAAAATGCCAAAATCGGAGAACCTTGTTTGAGTTCAGCTCTGGACGCCTAGTAATTCCTTGTATTTTTCCTTTTTGTTCCACAGTCTTTCTAAGTCCTATGTTCGGATCCAGGGCTGAACTCTAATTTGGCCTCCTTCGTAAACCTACTGGACACTGGGCCTTGCTTCGATTTCAACTTAAGACTTACATGTGTATATAAAAATATATATAGTATATATCGTATTGTCGCCCAGAAGCTGGCAGAAATTTCGTGTGTTTCTTTTTGTATGTATATCATTGGTTGGCTACACAAAAGCGTTTACGTTGTCTATATAATGCATCCAGGCAATCAAATGTGTGCTTTTAAATGCTTTTCTCTGCTCTTGGCTAACTTGAAATCTAATCTCTGTTTGCTGTTTTCCCCGAAGAAGAACGTCCCTTACTTTTTACACCTGAGCTGGTTTCGTCTGCTTTCCGAGTACCATGAGCATTTTCTGTAGGAATCGTGTGAGGCTTACTGGAATGGATTATAAAGAAAATAGAATACATATTAGACTGGTAATTTATGAAGATATGATTAATCTACCATATCATCTAGAGTTAGGAGTGCAAAGTAAAGTTTGGGGTTGCAAAACTTGTGGTTCGTTAGTGGAGTTAGTAATTCTCTAGAAATTAGTGCTGAGTTAAAAGGCAGGCAGGTGAGTCGAATGATAATAACCAAGGTAAAACTAGGATAAAATAGCAAACTTAAAAACCTTTGACGCCGCTTTGGGACGCACAACCATCATCAGTTTCTGTAGAACTTGTGTCAGTCCGCCTAGAATATCGAAAATGGGTGGGGATCACAGCGTGATTAAGTGAAAATCAACAGGTGGGAAGCAGATTTTATTGGCCGCGATAAGATGTAACCACTTACCCATGGTCTTCTGGAACCAAATGGGCTTGTTCTTCCAGGCGATGAAGACCAGATAGACAGGAATGCTGGACAGGATCATCAGGATACCATAGCCAGTCTCCACGGGACTGGCGTACATGGGCACCACGGTCACGAACATTGTGGCGATCAGGTAAACAATGGGGAAGACCAGGGGCACTCGGATGGGACGGGGCAGGTTGGGTTGGGCCCACCTCAACCAGGGCAGGCACAAGACAGCCACGCCAATACTCAACTGGGGGAGAGAAAATATCAGTTAATTGGAGATATACCAAAGAGTAACCCAATACTCTTACCCAAGTGGCAAAGCCCACATAGTTTATTAAAGCAAAAATGTCCGAGACGGTGAGGTACAACATGGATAGCAGGGCCATGGCCAAAACAGCGGGAGTGGGCGTGAATCTCTGTATCTGGATCATGGTTAGAATCTCCGGCATCTGGCCATTATTGGCTCCGGCATAAAAGAGTCGCGAGGAGGTTAGCAGAATGCCGTTCACAGCTCCGAAGGTGGAGAGGGCCACAAAAACTGGAAAAACATATTTAAATAACTCGTATATAATAAAAAAAATTAACGAAAGATCAGATTGACATGTGCAGGTTAATTTCATATCATTTTGATATGTTTATCTTATTTTACAATTTTTTTTTTAATACAAAGTTTGGTATTTCAAAAAAGTATTTTTATAACTTTTATGAACTGTAAAAACATCAATTTGATATGTTTGAATCATAAATTTGACATTATAGCTTCTTTATTGATATGCAATAAGGTAGAAATGACCGTATTTCATATAAAATTTTTTTTTTTCCAGTTTCTAAAATAAAACCCACCTGGAATGGTCCAGGCCAGCATGCCAAAGGCCCGCTCCGCATAGGTCACCGCCACGGCCGAGGAACCCATGACCTCGTCGGGCGACAGGATGGTGTAGAACGAGACATTCGCCATCACATAGACAACGGTCACCAGGGTGCAGCTGATGGCAATGGCGCGGGGCAGATTCTTCACCGGATCCTTCAGCTCCTCAATGATGAAGTTCAAGTAATTCCTGTCAACCCGCAAAAGCAAACAAATCCAATTAGCAAGTGTCCTTCGATGTCGCATAGTAAGCCGCTTACCATCCATTGTAGGCGAAGAGTCCGGAGTAGAAGGACAAGGCGATGGAGGTGACTTTTGTGTCCGTGTTCTCAAATGTAAAGTATTGCACATTGCCCAGGGATAGTTGGTATATGCCAGTGGCAATGATGATAAACAGGGCCAGCAGCTGGGAAATAAATAGTTAGCCTTTTAGCCCCGGGAAATCCAATCCAAGCCGACTTACTTTCGCATATGTAAAGATATCCTGCACAGCAGTCGCCCATTTGACGTCCCAGCAGTTGATTAGGGTTAGCACAACTGCAAAGTAAACGGGGGAAAATGGAAAAATATATAAGTAAGTAAATATATTGAGAAGGCCGCTTAACCCACTTTCGAGCCCCCAGCAACCATCACGACTTTGGAGTCACGCCGAAGATATAAGTCCCGAGATTCCGATTCCGACTCCAAATGCGAACGACCCATGTGGGTGATGTAATAACGCGAGGACTTTCATGTGACAATGTGACAACGAGTTATTTATTGCCCCCGCTATTGTCTCATGCAAACGCACTTGATTCCGCACAATTAAATCAGTAATAATACTATTAAATAGGCAATGGGGGGAAGCGGCGACTATCAACAAGTGGGTTTGGGCAGGGAAAACTATAAATTGCAAACTGTGTGGGGAAGTGATTACCATGGCTTATTAAAATTTAATATTATGTTGTGATAACTTCAGGATAATGCATACATTTATTTTCAGATTTATTGATTTTTAGTTGTTTTACTAAAATCGATTAAATCGTTTAAAAATTTAATTAAAATGTAAATGTGATATTTATTGGATTCTCCAGAATAAATAAAATGGTTACAATTCCTCAGTAATTACTTTAGATTTTTATAGCAATAAAATAATGAATTATATATATTTCGTTAAATAAAATAAATTGATTATTATTTTTCTTATTTTCCCCCTTGATTTATGGCTATAAATAAATAATATAAACACGATAATTTATGTTTTCTCGCCCTTTTTCCTCATAAAAAAAACCTATTTATATTTAGTCCGATCTGAATTTGTTTCCAAGCTGAAATCAAAACAAAACACTCCCATTCTGGCACACTGATAAGCCCGCTGCATATGGCAAACTCTTTCAGCGTGTTTATTTGCTCGCTACTCGGGTTATGCATTTAAATTGTTTCTAATCTATGGGTCAAGTACGCGAGTGCAGAGATTGCGGTCCAGGGGAGGTTCTTCCGCCCATAAACAAAATAAAATGTATATAAACTCACGTATGCAACAGACGGCGAGCAGGCGGGCCGAATCCTCGGGAGGAGAGCATTCCGGGAAAAAGGGCTTCAGGACGTAAGTACTAAAGGTAAGGGCCACGATGGCCTGGGAACAGGGTCGCACGATCATGCACTCGATCCAGAGACGGATGAAGGCCATGAAGGGTCCGAAGGTCTCCATGATGTAAGCGTAATCAGCTCCCGATTTGGTGATCATTGTTCCCAACTCCGCATAGCAATAGGCGCCCACCTAGGAGGTAAAATAATAATGAGATTTATTAAAGAAATTAATATTGCTTATAACAAAACATAAAATTTATGGAAGTAGTTCCCAGGGTTAAAAAAAAAAATAAATTAGAAATTATCCATTTCCTATCTCAAGGCTTTAAAATAATGGGCGGTTTTATTCCCGATTTCTTTTCCCATTTCGAAGTGTTTTAGGAGTGCGCAATCGTTGTCATCTGTCAGCAGCACCGCTGCGTATACGTAATTTTATTGAACTGAAGCCGCATTTCCTGCGTTTGACACGAACTTGTCATGTTTGTGTGCGTGTCAGTGGGTGTGGGTGTGTGTTAGTAGGGTGTGTGGGTGGCAGGGCGTTTGAATTGGGTGCAGGAATTTCAATAATTTCATTAAGCGACGCAGTGGCACTCTGCCAGCATTCGTAATTGAATGAGAAAGTCCTCCCCCAGTTCCACCCACTCATTCTGCCCACTTTTCCCACCCAGCTGTTATTTACCAGATCCAGATGGTAGTTTATACGCCAACAGGTGTCTCGGGGTTACCGAATGCCCTACTCCCATTTGCATATCAGGTTACTGGTATTTATGAGCTTATACACACACATTCTTACCATTGAGAAAAGTCCGGAAATGACCCAAACGATGAGGGCCAGGTTCACGCTGCCCGTGTACATCAGCACTCCCGTGGGCGACACAAAGATGCCCGATCCGATGATGGAGCCCACTATCACTGTGCATCCATTGAGCAGGCTCATCTTGGCCTTCAGGGTGACCTCTCCACCGCCACCCGCGTCGCCTCCATCGCCGCCGTCCGCATCTCCGTTGGTCAACTTGGCGGAGGCATCATTCCCATTCCCGTTGACAATCGAACTCTTCCGCGAGGAGTTCTTGCGATTCAGAGACTCCGTTTCCATGCTGTCAGCACTGCGTTGCGGTTATTATACGTTTTCTGGAAGGAAAATAATAAATATAAATTTTACAATAAATATTAAGGTTAATAAAGGCCGAAAAACTCCTTATTCTAATATTCAAACATATTCTTCTTTTAAAAAATACAAAAAGTAAATATTTTACTAAGCTACATAAGTTTAAGGTCAATAATCTTTAACATGGCATGGACAGAGTTTAACAAATTCTTCTCCATGGGGAGCCAAACAGAAAAATTAATAAATCTGTTAGAAAATGTTCTTTAATTGGTAATTATACAAGGGATACCCAAAAAAATAAACAAACCAACTAAGTATAATTTTAATATTATATTAATTAATCATTGTTTTTTGGTTTTGCCAGTCATAGTAAGTAAACTACCTATATCTCTCAATATCTTTGACCTTTTGTGAATCGATTAATTACATGAGTTTGTTTACAATATGGCTTTATAGATCCATAAATTACACGTGTTTAGTTGCTTTTAAGTCTATTTATAGTCAATCTTTTTAGCTTAGTATATTATTCGAGGGCAGTGCTTACAAGAAAAAATATTTTCCCCTTAATTCACGTATCTCTTGGCTAATGAACTTGCTTTCCTAATGCTGCTAATTATTCATTGTCTCTCTGGAGGAGAATTTGCTTTGAGAAATGGCGTGCTAATTGCGAAAAGAGGAAATCTTAATTTAAATATTAAATTCTAGGTTATCAGATGTTTCATTAAATGGAATATTGTAATCCCGACTTGAAAAATTCCAAGAGAAGGCACTTTTAGTTCTCCCCTTCACGATTCCCTTCCCTCCTTTTTTTTAGAGTGAAAGGTAATTAAAGGTCATTGGCAGAAGTAAAAAGCTTGCTCTACTTTTACCTTGACTTTTATATTCGCATTTTTTGGACACAAGCTTTTAATGTATTATTTGCACGGAGAGAAAAAGATCTATTGTTTTTATTATTTACAAAATTAAATTTTTAATCTTAAATATAAGTATAAAATAAACAACGCCTGAAATTTTCCTACAATCGGTCGTGACTTTCTTACAAGATGAGGAAGCAATAAACTGGAGTTTGTTGAACCCACAAAAATAATATTATTGCCATTCCTTTCGGTGTAAAAGTTTGACGGAGCCTGAAGATTGATTGATAAGCCCCCGAAAGAGGCACGTGTGGGCCTATGAACTCGACACAAAGCCAAGGAAGTGGTTCCCCCGAGACGCCCGACACGCCCACTTATGGTATTAGGTCACGCCAATTGTTTACCTTAGTATATCATACACATATAGGGGGAGGGGAGGCGACTTCCTCAAAGCGAAAGCAAAGGCCGGTACTGGACCCACGCTCTGCATAAATTAGCATAGCATCAGAGGCGAGAATAACAAACAAAAAAGCTATTCGATGTGTGATTCAGTTATGGAATAACTGGTGGAATGGCACAAGCAAAACAAACAGGTGAAAAAACTAATGGACACCAGATCTATAACTCGGATCTATAACCCTCGACAGCTAATTAGCCGATTGGCCATCTGATGTTTTAGATATTCTTGGCTTAACACTTGGCCGGCCAAGCTGAACGGAGTGAAAACGGTCAAAAAAGATACAATTACTCCCGATATCGCCGCGAATAGATTATGGATTCGGTATTCGGGGTATTGCAATTATTTAGTGCGGAATTCCAGTGAAATCCGAGCGGGGAAAAATACGAAATTACATCTTTGGAATTCACAATGCAACTGGGTTTGCATCATGACTTAGTCACTTTGCCAGCAGGGGGTCTCCTGTTTTTGTTATGTTTCGTGTGAAAGGCATTGTCTTTAGTTCACCTCAGGGCAATTAGCTCTTTCACTCCGCAGCCGCCATTTACTTGACCCAATTTATGCATAAATCAAGACATAAAACACACTATCGATTCATCGAAAGCGTGCTATTTGTGTGCGCACCTGAGGCATAAACAGAAAAACACAAAAGAACTAACAAAATCCATTAATTTTGGTATAGTAAACAGAACTCACTATTGTGTAGTCCATATAAATCACTGTACTGGTGGGCTATCAGTTTCGAGGCAAGTGCTTTATAGCATAGTTAGCCCAGGCTATCAACTAATTGAAGCTAATTGTGGAAAAATTTGATTTTTTTGCCTGACAAAGTATCATAAACAGGCCATCTGTTTCCCAATTGGATAATGAGTATAAAAGGGAGTTATTTTAAATGTGAAACAGAAAAAACGCATTAGTGAATTAATGTTTTTTTTAGAACGATCACAAATCCAGATTATTCCAGTCTGAATTAATTGAATTGGAATACCTAATTCTGGATTTATTTTGTTTTCCTTGTGCTGATATAGCCTATCGCTAAAAACATCTCAACCAAGTAGTTCTTATCAGGGTCTACGAAGAATTCCGTTTGATTCACAAAAATCAAAATAAGAGGAAACCGGCTGGATTATCAACAGGTCCGAGTTAGTCGTTCACTTAAAGCCGAAATTCTAAAAATATACCTTAAACAAGAATTGAACATTTCGGGTATTCAGTATATAGTATAATAAATAAATCTGCACACATAAATTCTTGCGGGCAGTTTTTAATGGCGCTTTTATGAGTTGCCAAAATCGCCTCATGCGTTTTAATTGAAATTTGTGTTTCACCGCTGTTGTTTTTCCATTTTATTAACACCTTTTTTAATTCTAATGGAATATTTTTGTTGTTTTTTCCTTCGCGTTTTTAATCACAAACACAAGTGTTGCTTATGCAAAGCCAACAACTTTTATCTACTTAAATTGTATGCTATTTGACTAACGCCGAGAACTGAGTACTTAAGAGGCGATTAGGCATTTGCTACCTGCCTAAGAGGGTCGAGCACTTTTCCCGTGAGCAAAGAGGGCTTTGCTAACTAACTGATATTTCCAGTTGCCAACAAGTTCCGCCGGAGAACGAGAACCGCACGCAGTCAGCGGATAAAGCAGACTGACAACCACCGGCGATTCCAATTCGCTCCGAGGCATCTTCGCTACGGAAATCTCAGCCAGAGGTTAATCGTGTTCGGGACTGGTCGGCAGAGCTGTATCCCCTACACTGCTATGCACAGAGAGAAATATTGGGTTCCTGAAGATTATTTTTTAACTAATTGTATTTATTTTTATTATTTTTCTACGAGTGTTTTAGTCCATTTCAAAGCAAGTTTGATTAGAGAAATGTTTTAAAGTGTATTCAAATTTATTTAAATATTTTTAATTTAAAAATAATATATATTTTAATATTTATCGACTTGCAGTTTTGTTAAAAATTTAGTATTTGAGTTCTCTCAAGTAGTTTGAAATTTTTATTTTTGTTTTAAAGCCTTAAACCCATAGATTATAGTATTAAATAATTTATAATAATAACAAAAAAATTAATAATTTAATCTATAATAATAAGTTTATTTTACGCCTTACTAAACTAATATATTTAAACATAAAAGCCTGACTTTGCGCTACTTCGAACCTGTTCGATGTTCGTTTGAGAGGCTCGCTTTTTTTGATTGTTTCTAACCGGCAATCTGTGTTTTTTAATCCGTAATTTCACCGAAACAAGTTTTCGACGCCGCGCTTTGTTTGTTCCCGTGATCGTGGCTGTTAAAATCTCGTACCTTTTGTTTTTTGGGCTTTCGACAGCAACGCTCGGTGGTTGCCGAAAAATGGTTCTCATTTCTTGTGTTTGCCTCGCGTTTGGCAGGCGGAAAATGGTACACGCTGGCTTTTATCTAACAGATACACAGAAACAAGTCGAAGAACAAGAACAAAAGTAATTTAACTGAAGGCCTACGGTTTGTTTACCCATGTGGTAACAGTCTTTTCGGCACTTGAGTTCCATGTACCCTTTTCGAGATACAAAAGTATCTTTCGCCGTGTATCTGTCTGCGTTCACACGTAGGCTGCTGGCGTCGCGTGGAAATGTAAATTGGACCTGAGACGCTCTGATTTTCGCGCGAATATTCAAATCTATTCCTGCCTGCCCACTTGCCCCGATCTATAATTGAATATATCCGCAATATGCCGGCGACTTTGCTGCATCCACAGCCCCGCACAAACTCACAAATGACTTAATTCAAAGCATTTTGTCGCCAACTGAAGCACAATGGCGACGCGTCTGCAATTTCCTAGTAGAATTTATTTAAATAACTTGTATTACCGAGAATGTTTGCCGCCTTTCAGCGTTACTTCAACCTAAATCTCGCTTCGGGCCATCCGAGTTTATTGACCAACGAGCACAAAGGCTGATGATATCCAGCTTTTGATGACTGACTTTCGACTGTCGATATTTATTTGATTCGGTTCCGCGGCCGGTTTTTGGTTCCCAAACTGCTAACTGCCCATCATCGCATTGCTTAATCTCCCCTTTATTAGCAATTTGTGTGTATAATCCCGAATTAACGACAATTGGCGTTGCGTCCAGCGACGTCATAGGTGGCCGGTTAGAAGGTATTTCTCAGTGCGATCATCTTATTAAATTAAATCTCGCCATGAAGTGCGGCACTTTAAGAGCTCCCCGACTCGTTAGTCAATTGATTTACTAAGCCTCAAAGTCGCTTTTTAAAAAGTCGGCTCTTTGGGAACTGGCTTGGAATGCAAAGGCATTATAATTCCGAGTTCGATCAGCTGATCGGCTTGCTGCTTGAATATTTTATTTACAGTCATTCTACAGGTAAACAATAATTAGAGTTCCAGTTTCTGTTTAATAATAAAGTTAAAAGGCAAAATCTTATACCAATAAAAAGCAGAAATGATTAATGTCAAATTTATGATTCAAACAAATCAACTTGATATTTTATTATTTCATAAATGTTAAAAAAAATATTTCAAAATGTCAAATTTACAAATATTGTAAAATAAGAAAAACTTCATGTTTTTCATATCATTTTTAACTAACAAAAAAATTATACTTCCCCTTAAAATATCAATATACAATTCTTTAAAAGAATTTTAGGAATTAATAGACTGTAAAATCACGATCATTAATTTATATTTTTTTTAGCTTTTCATCCTAACAAAATTGTGTACTTAATTGTTAATCTCTGACATCTGTTTGCCTTGACAAATTGCGGTTTTGGAGCTCAGCAAACAATTTAAGCGCTTTCATTAAATTAAATTTTCGTGATGCATCTCGCCAATGCCAATAAATTCGCGGCTCTCTGTCAAGGCCAAGGGTTTATCCCACCTTTTTGAGGCATTGAACTGGTAAAAAGAACTGGCAAAAAAAAAAATGGGTATTTGATACCCACACTACCGGCGTGCCAATAGCCAATAAGTCGAGGAAAACACACCTTTCGAGAATAGGTGGGCCGTGGGTATTATGTTTCCCCAGCCAAACTGAGGCTCATTAATTTAGAGATCGACTCTAAGCCCAAGTACTTATTACTTATCGACGCGGCTGGCATTTCAAGTACTATCTCGAGTTTCGTGACGTTTCTGACCAAATCGCAGGTTGACATTGCATCAGACTCTTGTCGATATATAGGTAATATAGTTGATTAACCATGAAAAGCGGCGCCAAAGTGTCTGGCGAAGCTTTCGGAAGCTGTTCGCGTGGGTGGTTTGTGACGTCAGGGATTGCCATTTGTGACGTGCTGGCCAAAAATAGCGCACAAATGGCAGAGCCAAAGACAAAATGTCACGGATTCTGTGGGCATACTTACACACAAATTTTAATTGATTTTTTCCTGGACCTCAAGCACAACTTGTAACACTTTGAGTTAAAACAGGGGTGTTCTTAGCATTTTAATCACACTTTCAGCTGAAGTTTTATTTAAAAACCCTGGGGAAATAATAGTAATCCTTTAATTTACGTTGTGCGATGTGAGAAAATATTAAAGTACAAGACCCGTTTTGTTTTCGTGGCCACAGTAGAACGCGAACTGACGGGCAGTTCGTGGTTACAGCATCGCCAGAAAGCGAGAGAGCAATCATCAGAGTATAGAGTGCCCTACCCCCCGGTATACCGATAAAACACTCCGATAAGAGGGTCTTGAGAGCAGGAGCAGTGGCCGTGGCCCTCGACAGACCACGTTTCTTGAAAACCTTTCGCGAACTGCAAATTACCCCCGACTTTCGTCAAGGGTTTTGGGTTCTCAGAGGTTGGTCATCGTGGGCTTGGTCTTTCAAATTATGCCAGGCACTCATGTTCTGGGATTTTTCTCTGCCCTTTTTGGGTTTTTATTTTTTTGCGAGACGTCTGCTCACGTTCACGGCGATTGCCGATTCAAATGCCTTTTGTTGCCTGCGCATAAATTTTCGGCTTGGCACAACCTTCTTTGGGTTGCTGCTCTCTGGGATTCTCATGCTTTTTTGTTGTACTCAAGGTCAGTGGCGTCCTGCTGCGCATGTCCTGAAATGAGCTTTCGAGTGATTACATTAGAGGTCGTGGGATTTTTGAAAAGTAAGTTAAGAAAGCTTTTGCCTCCTTGAGATAGGAACTGTGATTTTTAGATAGGAATAGCCTCTTCACATTAGTTACCATCTATCAGTAAGTGGAACGGGATTATTTTGAGGGCATCACTGGAGATGATTGGAGGCCCATTTAAACCAAAGTCTTTGGAAGAGGATATATCACTTTCCACACCAGCACCCCATTCTTCAAATACTACAGCCAGGGAATTAATTATGATTTAAGTTTTCCTAAAAGATTTAACTAGAGATTGTGTCGCAAGTTTCAATATAAGAGCAATATCCTTTTATCCTTACAAGAGGAATTTTAGTGTGCAAATTATATTATTAATTTTATAAGCTTTTAAATATATTTTTTACTTTAAGCCGCCAGTCTTCCAAATATTTTTGGCCCATAGTGCAGAAGAAAAGGTCAGGTTTCAAATTTTGAAGAACTAGTCTGGTTCTAAATCTGACTTAAAATTTACGTAAAAAATAGTAAAATTACACGAAATATACATTTTACAAGTAGATACATTGGTTCGAGTACTCGCTACATGGCCATTTAATCGAATCACCCTGCGTTTTGAATTTTGAGCCGCCCAAATCACACAGTGTTTTCAATTTTCAGCTCCACAAAACGCCCATTTTCGCCGGAAACCGGAGATAAAATCTGAAAATCAATAAATAACGATATTTATTTAAACCATGTGATCCCCACATCCAAACAACTAACCCAAAATCGCCCCCTTATGCTTATGCAGGTCGTCCTTTGGTTAGGCCGTCTTTGTCATCTGGTAGCATTAAATCCTCCTGCTCCTGATCCGGTTGCAGCGCCATCTTCCTCATCCTGGACTCCCTGGGTATTCAATAGTCGAGGCTTTTAGGATAAAATCGAAAGCTTACTACAACGTAAGTTTCAGTGACCTTTAAACGCCTGTAAAAATACTATGTGGGAATTATTCAAAGGATTTTTGAAATATTTTCTTGCTTTTGTTTGGCCATCACATTTCGCACGCAGCTTAATTCGCATGCTTTCCCCCTTTGGGGTTTTTAACAATTTGTAAGTAACATATCGAATAAATCCGTTGGAATTTGGCACATGTGTTGTGTGTTGTGTGCAGTTGCACAATGCATCCCCAGGGGGCGCGGCCCCGCAATCCGCCCACCTGCGAAAGTGTGTTGACAAGGCCAAAAGGAAGAGGAGGTTTCTGTTTCTGTTTCGAGTGTGTGCGAACCGATGCCATGTGTGTGCGGTGTGCGCCAGCAACTTTGATCCAGCTGCGAACTGTTCATGCGTGGAAGCTGCATTGTTCGGTGCTTAAAAGCGATTGCTGCTGCCATATAAATGCACTTTCCACCTTCTACCACCGCGTCCCACGTTGCGTATACGTATCGTGTACCCAGTAGTGTGCAACACGCATACGCACTGTTGCACCGCCATAAAGGCTTGTCTCTCCCCAGCTGCGTGTGCTCGCTTATTAGTTTGTTTTGCAGGAGGGTAAAATCAATCAATGGCCTCACCTGCCTCTGCCCGGCCATGGCCGCCTAT